AATCTTTGTGGAAAGGTTAAAACATGTGGGGCTTTATAGTTCATAAAAAAAATAAAAGATTCAGATGTTTGAAAACAATTTTGACAACTTGTTGAAAAGTGGCATATAAGTTTATAAATGTATGCATAAGGTAAAGGTACCCCTGCCTGTACGGGCCAGTCATGTCCGACTCTAGGGTTGTGCGCTCATCTCACTTAAGAGGCCGGGAGCCAGCGCTGTCCGAAGACACTTCCAGGTCACGTGGCCAGCGTGACGAAGCTGCTCTGGCGAGCCAGCACCAGCGCAGCACACGGAAACGCCGTTTACCTTCCCGCTATAAAGCGGTACCTATTTATCTACTTGCACTTAGGGGTGCTTTCGAACTGCTAGGTGGGCAGGAGCTGGGACCAAAAGACAGGAGCTCACCCCGCCGTGGGGATTTGAACCGCCGACCATACGATCGGCAAGTCCTAGGCACTGAGGTTTTACCCACAGCGCCACCCGCGTCCCAAAATGTATGCATAGTGTGATGAAATTGGACATAGAGTATTCTCTCTCTCTCATTTGGAATCATCCCAAAGAAATTGGTTGATGATAGATTCAGGACATGCAGAAGAAAGCACCTCTTCACAATATCACACACTTAACTCTTTGTCCCTTTGCCACCAGAGGTGCTGTCAAATTTAAGGGACCTCTGGGCAAGGTGCCTTGCAGGAGCCGCCTGCCACCTTGGCAACACCCAACCCACGCTGTGTCCATCTGATTGCCTGATGTCACTGCCACTCTTTTCCCTCTGGGGAAATGCTTGCAATTAAAAATGCAAGTGACTTCAGCCATAGCTCCTTACAGTGTTTTGCTTCTACTGCTGCTAACACCACCCTCTGGCACTGTTTGGATGCCCCGGGCCGTGGGACTCTGGACTTAGGCCTAATGGAACCACTGAGTGCCACCATGGGAATCTTTAATTTAGGTCAACCAAAGGGGAGATCCAGGATCACATCTCCCAACATTTGTTTTTTAAATTTAAAGGAGTCAGGGGGACAGAAATTAGATTGGGTCACTGTGTTGGGGGAAGAGATTTAACTCTTTCTCTCTCTTCCATTACCTTAATTTAAATCTCTCTTACCTCACCAAAGCTACTATTAGCAGCTGTTGGTGGGGGAGAGAACATAAATATCCACATTGTACCAGTCTTTTTTTACTGTCTGGGTAGTGGTTTTAAATTGGAGAAGCAGTGGAAGGAAAAGGTCTAAGCCAATACCAGTACAACAGTCCCGATTCAGTTGATAAATGCACATAACATTGTTGTTTTTAAGCCAAAAACAACCATGGCTGGAGATCTGATCAAGGATCTCCCACATTGTCATCTTTAGGTGGCTTTAAAAAGAAAGCAAGGCAAATTTCCGCCAGATGCCTATTATTGGCTATTAGCAATGGTAGCTAATGGTAAAATGGTAAAATGCGGACACGGGTGACGCTGTGGGTAAAACCTCAGCGCCTAGGACTTGCCGATCGCATGGTCGGCGGTTTGAATCCCCGCGGCGGGGTGCGCTCCTGTCGTTCGGTCCCAGCGCCTGCCAACCTAGCAGTTTGAAAGCACCTCCGGGTGCAAGTAGATAAATAGGGACCGCTTACCAGCGGGAAGGTAAACGGCGTTCCGTGTGCTGCGCTGGCTCGCCAGATGCAGCTTGTCACGTGACCCGGAAGTGTCTGCGGACAGCGCTGGCTCCCAGCCTATAGAGTGAGATGAGCGCACAACCCTAGAGTCTGGCAAGACTGGCCCGTACGGGCAGGGGTACCTTTATCTTTACCTTTAGCTAATGGTAGAGATGTGTCGATTTCAGTTTATCTCCGTTTCTCATATTTCCAACCTTCATTTCTTCACATTTTAGTAAGACTTTTACTAACATATTCCTTTCTATGCACACTTTATCCAGCATATGTATTATTGTACACCTGAGTTGGTTGGCAAACTGTATTACAAAATTCAGAAAAGCATGAATTGCAAAGGATGACTGTGTTTCGATTCACATTTTGCCTTTAACTGCACATTTTGCAAACTGGACTGAGCTATTCACTTGTCTGTAGCTAAGTGTTGTTTCGTGTTCAGGCAGTACGCCTCTGAACACCAGATGCTGGAGGGGGGCAAATAGCAGGGGATGCTGTTGCTATGCCCTGCTTGTCAGCTTCCCAGAAGCTTCTGGTTAGTCATTGTGGGAAACAAAACACTGGGCTTGATGGATCCTCGATCTGATCCAACAGGGCTCTTTTTACATTCTTAAAACAGAAAGCAATAATCAGGAAGAGAACACATTTAAACTTATGCAGAAGGCCGTCCTGTCAAGTCAAGTAAACACAGCCAGTCTATACAGATGTGGGATTAAAGAGAAGGGCTCCCACGCAGAAATTAACTGCTAGGAGCATCATGCATAATTAGCATATGCAGACCATGGGGAAAGGGCTCTGCATCCAAAATGGAGCAGATGGCAAAGATTCATGTCATCCTCTCCCCTCCTCTTACCATTTCATGCAGGGAAGAGTAGGAATGAGCTGGTCAGTGGTGTACCGTGGTTTGCGGGCACCCAGGGTGGGGCAGGTGTTGCCTCCCCCCTGGTGGACTGGGAAGCTGGGGTGGAGGTGAATGCCAGGGATCCCTCCCCCCCCCCGGGCACTTTCCTGTCTTTCTTCCTCCTCAGTGGGCACCCCTAGTAATTTAGAACCCTTCTCTTCCACAATTCTTCTAAACCATGCAAGGAACTCACTTGAATAAGAGAGTTTCCCTGCTTTAGATGTTCAGCCCTCAATATCTTGCAAAGTGAGGTGGGGGCTGCGGGAGTGGCAACATAAGCACAGTAGCCTTCTCTCATTCATGTTCCCCAGCAACAGGCATTATTTAGAACAGCGGAAGCTATTATGTTGACCAGAAAAGCCAAGTTGTTCCCTGGTAGGCCACTTACTTTTGAAAGGCCCAGGTGGGGGTCGAGGCAAGGTAAAATGCAGACATGATAACCAATGACTCTGTGGGATGGCTTTTGATGGGTAGGAGAGGATATATTAATTACAATTTATCACTCCAGTCTCCCATGCATGTGGATTAAACAGAATTTTAAAATCCCATTCTTGGAAGCAAAATAGAAGCTTTGGCAGCAAAGTCTCCCTTTCTGAGCAAGTCCAGCTAACAAAGTAAACTGGCTTTTCCATTCCTATGCAGCTTAACCAGGCTTGTAAAGTAGGTTTTGAAATTAGATTGACTTAATCGTCTTGCATTGGTTCACAGCAAAGGCATCAGTAAAAAGTATGCAAGTAAAATACTGATATTTACTATATAACCAGTTTCAGGCAAGCAGAAACACATCTGCCTCTGTTGTTGGTTGAAGAAAAGAGCAGAGAGAGAGAGAGAGAGGAAGAAGAAGGATTTATATTTCTTGTTTCTTCCTACCACTGAAAACAGGAAATGATATCACACAGAGCTCTCTCTCTACCATAGGAGCCAACTCCTGGGGCAGCGGTCCCTTCAGACACCTCAATAAAATATTTGAAGGGGCTGGGGGGCCCTAAAATTGATGGGCATTGCCATTCATATCGTGTGTGTGTGCTGCATCATGTGACTGATTATATGGAGTGAGTCTTACCTGGGGCCCCAATATTTTATTCAAGCTGGCACCCATGCTCTCCACTAATTACATACCAATGGTCCGAATCTGCCTGTCTAGAAATTTTCAGATCTGTGGTAGTTGGCCCCTAAACTTACTATACCAAAAGTATATATTTGTGGAATTTGACTGCCATCTCCCACGGACTCAGCATCCACAGTTGCCTCTGGGGCTTGGCTGAACGTTGGTCAAGCCATGAGTTTTTGTTATCTTACATTGTCACCACACTCCTCAGTGCTGGGAAGGGTTGGATCTGTTTCTCTGCACTTGGCAGTGAAAAGCAGCTCACTAGTGCGCAACACAGAGAGCGAAGCCATTTTCCAGCCTTATGCTTGCATGTGCTTCACGTTTGGAATGCGACAACTCAGCCCAAATGGAAGCTGGCATGACGGGCTATACAAATGCCAAGGCAGCTTGTGGGAGAATATCAGAGACTGATCACATTGTTAACACCAAGGACAGGAGATGCTATGGAGTTGTCAGCATGGGAAGGAAGGGACATTTTTCACTCTGTCAATGGCAGGTCACGTATCTTTAAATAAACAAGAGAATAAATAATTTACAGAGCTTGATTGCAGGCAGATTGGCTATGAAAACACTGTGGCTAACAAATAGCGCTGTCAGCTCTGATTTCTTATGGCCCATCTAATCGTTATCTGAGGATAACAGTGCCTGAAATCTTCAATAAGGTTCATTTGTCAGGGAGGCATCATCACAGGTGGAGAAAAAGCAGCACCATTCAGCTTGTGCTGCCTGCATTAGCCTTGTCAGACAGAGGGCTGGGGAGATCCCAGGAATACTGCATAGATGGTGCACTCTTAGAAATTAAATACTGGTACCCCTCTGCCAGTTAGCAATATGGGGAGTGACAGGAGTCCACCGCTGCAGAGCTAGTAAGAGAAAGGGAAATTGGCTTGTGTATAGTGATGTGGCTGCAGAATTAAAAAAAACAAAACCCCAGGAAATTCTAGTCTGCTTTTAAAAACTTGGTTTGAGTTTGCGTCTATATTTGACTTGCCTAGACCACGTGACAACATAAGACCTTCCCCACTGGATCAGACCAAAGGTCCAACTAATTCAGTAGTCTGCTTCTCAGAGCCACAAACTATATGTCTGCATAAGAAACATCTCTCAGATCCCCACCTCCTTTAGTTGTTCTTTTTCTAACACACACACACACACACTCCAGCCTTTTCTCATAGGGAAGATGCTCCAACATCCTCATAAATTTGGTCAACCTTTTCTGTACCTTCCCAGCTCAGATTTGAGACTGGACAACTGGAACAACACACTGTATCCCAAATGTGGATGCACCAAAGTTTTTAACATCAGCATTACAATACTGGCCTTTAGTTTTCACATTAGCACTGGAAATAATAATAATAATAATAATAATAATAATAATAATTATCATTATCATTATCATTATCATTATCATTATCATTATCATTATCATCATCATTATTTGCAAAGCACACCAGGCAGGTAAGGAGACAGCAGCAATATCTAGTGTTTGGGTGATTCAGCATTGTACTCTTTCAAAATAAAACCCTCTGTCTCTGTTCCTTGTAAACTTTGAGAAGACTCCTTGCTAGTGTGGCTACATGTGAAATCTATCACAAGACTGAAGCTGCTCCACCTATCCATTTTAAGCCTTCTGGTACTCAAAATGTGACTAATTTCCACCCTTCTTTATCTGGAGTAATATGAGGAGGATCAGGGGACCGGCTCTCCTGTTCTAATGTCCATAAGGGAGGTTAATCTGTTATCTTGCAAAAGTCAGCTTCCTGTCTGGAAGTGGGTATTTAATTAAGAGCAACTCATCACAGACTCCAGTGCCTGAAGTAAAACCAGGGAAATGATTTCTTTTTATTTTCTCCCTTCTTTTATCTTTTGCAGTTTAATGTGTATTACACCCCAGGGGAGAAGTAAATTGCTCAGTGCAAGCCCTATTCTCCAAACACTGCTGCTCACACGAATCTTATATTGCCTTTGCTCAGCTCTATCAGCCCCTCTGATTCTCACCCAATAGGTGGGGTTGAGCTGTGTAAAATTCTCCCCAGGACTAAGACAGGCTCCACAATGTTAGGGTTTGGGGATTTATTTATTTGTTGGATTGGACTTTTCTTATCTCCACCAATACAGAGGAAGGCAGTTCAACCCAAGATGAGCTGGTCTCTTTAAGAGATTTGTGGGTTCTTTGCCGAAAATGGTCTAAAAGCCAGGCTGGGACCATTAAGTCGGACCTCTGTGAAGACGGGGAAGGAATAGTTACCTGAAGGTTAAAGAATGTCCATATTTGACTAAGTCTAAGCAGCTGCTCTTGCTTTGAGCTGTGTTTAGGGTTCAACCATTAAAAGGCAGAGGCAGCCCAAGTTCACCTCTTTGGTACCTCTAGTTTTGACAATGAGAGGAACGGAACGTAGCACCTTCCAGGTCTAGTGTGAAGGTTAAGCGTAAGGTTCCATATTTGGGGGAAGAAAAGAGGAGAAAATTAATGAATGATGCTTCATGTGTGGCTTTTCTCGCCTTCCAGCTCTGGCTACCAAACAGACTTACGTCAGCTATAGCAACCACGCAATTTAAAACCAGCCAGTGGCAACTGGCCACGGGAAAAGGGCTGCTGAAGAGGAGGAACAAGAAAGTGGAGTTGAGCCCCTCAGCACAGATGATGCCATGGTGGTGGAGAGGGTGCAAGAAAAAATGTGATTCCAAGAACTCATCAAGGGTGCCTGTTTCTGATAACTGGGCTGCTGGAGGCAGCTATTTTGGAAGATGGCCACCAACAGTAGAGGGAAGAATCAATCAACACACCCCACGTGAAATATTTGCCTTCCATTGGAGGGAGAGGCCAATGGGGTTGAACAACACCGCAGGTGGAAAGAAGGTGACAGACCTTTAGCAACTTTTTGGATTTGTTTGTTTTTAAATTCCTGTATCTTGGCAAAAGAAAAAAAATCCCTTTTATTCTTCCCCCCTTCAAAATAGTGAGATGGTTTGTGGTTGTGAAGAGTCTTTCGTTCTCTCTCATTATTTTTCTTTTATTTTTTCCTTTTCCATTCCTGTCTTCTGACCTCTTCACTCTTTTCCCACCTTGCTTTCCCTTCTGTCTTCCCTCTCTCCTCCTTATCAAATTCTGTGTTGCAAAAATAATAAAAATTCCTTGGGGAAAAAAAGCAACAACCATCATCAACAACAACAACAAAAGTGAAAACAAAACCTAGACTGTGTTCAAAGTGCTGATTTCTATAGGTGGTAAATTAATGTATGTGATGATCATATGGATTGAAATATGTCTGCTTTAATGTACTGACCAATCAAAAAAAGATAAAAAACACAAAAAAATTCAAAAGTTCAGTGCCTGGATGTTTATGAATTATTCGATGACGATGTGTAGAGCATGATCATTTTTATACCAGAATATTTCTAATAAAAACCATGGTTTTGCACTCAGGAGTTGCATTTCCTTGCTTAATGTTGGTCTGCGTGTGACTCTGTAGGTCTAAGGAAGTGTTGCTTTACAAAAGTAAATTACAGGGTCATTCATAACATAATACAATATCTATAATCACCTTTGACACAATCATCTCAAGGAGATGTACACTATAATCCTGAATATAGCACCCTCCTTTCCTCTAAATGGAACAGGTGAGTGTTATGACACTGTCAGAGTTGGATGCAGCAACCATCTGTTTTGGATGTTCCAAGTGGAGATCTTTTCACAAGACCGACAAGAGCATATGAATTAGAACCAAGGTATGAGTTTAGTTCCATTTAGTTCAGTGAAATGTGGATTGGGGGCGGGATGCTTTTGTTGGGATATCTTGATTCTGTAAAGTGACCAGTTAAATATCCCCAACTTCAACCATTTAATGAGTCTAGATGCAATGGTTAACACTGATAGTCTGTGTATCTGCAGTACAGTATTTTCAAACCTGGTACCCAATTTTCACATAAACATGCATTCTCACATAGTGGAAATGTTGCCTTTTCAATTCAGCTTTGGTCAGTCAGGCTTCAATCCAGTAGGGGGTCCCAACCCACCCGTGAGTTAGACAAATGTTCTTTGGGAAAGACTATCCCAAACTTCATTAAGTAGAAAATGCACACAGATTGCCCACCACAGTGTTAAGTTAAATTCACCTTCGGTGTAATTCTCAGCAGTGGTCAGTGCAAAGTTCAGTTAGAAAAATCAAAAGGGAAAATCTTTGCAAAACACAAGCTATTACTAAACAATGTCTCTGAGAACAAGAAGTGCTCTGAAATGTGAAGTTTATGGGTCAAATACTATGGATCATTGTACTGTAGTTTCGAAAACAGAGCTCGAAGGTTCATATTCAAACAAGGCCCATGGAAACTCCAGTGCACATATGGAGTTTCTATATAAACAAGGCCTTCCCATTCACTCTAATGTGGATGGTAGGCTGGTGTCCATCAGTTTCAAGGCCCTAGAGAGCTCGAGAGACATGGCTCCCCTTCTGATTGCCAGGTTGTACGGTTCTAGTCGTGTTACTCTCCTTGTTTCTCAACCACACCACCTTGTCCTTTGCTGGGTTGCCTGTCACATCTCTTTCAAGTGGCTGACGCTCGAGGTCACCCTTGTACATAATGGCTTTGCCACCAGGACGCAAGGTTTTGTAGCGATAACAAGCACCGTCAGCCCCTGCCCCCCCCAAATGGGCAGGTGTTTTGAAAGGTTCTTTTCAGGTGTCCCTGTTTACAGCCAGTACCTCTTGTTACCGTTTCAAAAGGGTACATGCGCGCGTTCCCTAGGTGGGAGTGGAGAGAAAAGATTTTCTCTCTGAGTCAGGTTTATTAGCATTTTAATTATGTTCTCGCCCCAGGTGGTCTTTTTGTCTCCTGGATGACTGTACACAAAGGTGCAACATAACAGCTTCCTGTTTGCAAGGTATATATATAGCTGGGGCACTGCAACATGTCCGGCACAGTTTCTTGTTCTCACTTGTTCTTTTCTTTTCTTTTCCAAGCACAGTCTGCCCTTTCGTTCTGCAAGCATTTCAGAATCCTCTTACCTCAGCAAGGGCTTCCCAGCCCAATGGGAGACTCTCAGCAGTGACTGAGATCCATCTTTCCCCCACCCGCTCAGTTGGTCTCAGCAGCACCCACTGTGCAGTTTATATTGCTGCAAAACAGTGGAAGACGTCTCAGCACAGTCCACAGGAGGGGGTGCACACAGAAGGGGGTCCCATGTCTCTAGCATAACACACAGTCAAGAGAGTCTAGTTGCTTGTGTATCAAGAGTGGCAATGGAGATAGGGTGCCTGCATATACATGTTCTGGGGCCCACGGTGGAAGGAAATTACTGCAGGACAAACTCTATACCAATGGTAGAGACCCACTGCTCTTTGCAGAAAATTATCAGATGGCTATATCACATTCTTCTCTCCAGCTCAGTACATGAAGATGTGCACATGTGCACGAGTGCTCTCACACACAGACTGCCTTTTGCAAGTTTGCTTCAGTTTTAAATGAGTTACATTCCTCCATTAATTCACTCTTTCCCGTATGCATACAATTCAGTGTACCTATGGCACTCAGGGGAGGGGTATGGGGGTGTTAGGGGAAGGGTAGTACCTCTGGTGTGGGACACGTTGTGCTCCTTCTAGGGTAGTCTGTCCACTTTTGGTCCCCATTCTGCACTCAGCTCTCACCTGTGGCCCCTAGAAGCTGTCAGCATGGGGCAGCAGTCACACACTGGGAATGACTTTGGCTGGCCGGCTAAATCAGGTGAGGGTAGTCAATGGGTCTCAAACCTTCAGTGAGTTAGGGACTTCCCCTGCAAGCTAATACAGGTTCCATCAGACTGAGAGGATGAGACCAATAGTGGGTCCAATGGTCAAGAAGGCAGTTTCTTCATGTGCTGTAGTGGGAAGTGAGGTGTGAATGGGGTCTGTCAACCTGGGAAGGTAACACATGTAGGAGAAGGAAAAGTCTGATCCTAAACCAGGCTTCCTCAACCTTGGCCCTCCAGATGTTTTGAGACTACAATTCCCATCATCCCTGACCACTGGTCCTGCTAGCTAGGGATCATGGGAGTTGTAGGCCAAAAACATCTGGAGGGCCAAGGTTGAGGAAGGCTGTCCTAAACCTCCACTGCCTTGCTGGACATATTCAGGAAAATAAAAGGTTAAAGAGTAAACCCAACACAAATCTGGAGTGGAGACCCTAAGATGGCTGAATGGTGTCTTGTACATCTCCTTCCAGCAACCCCTGCAACCCAGTTAGTGCCAAATGTATTGCTCTGTTTTCCTTTGGACCACATCAGCGAGGCCAAGATGGGCATCTTGTCATCTGGGCAGCCCAGAATCTCCATACACACTGACCAGGTTTGTGCCCCAGGGAGGTCCCTTTGGTGCTGCTAACACAATGGTTTGACATGGAGGCACACTCCATTATCTCTTGAGACAGACTGATGCCAGTAATAGCTCTCCATAGTCCCATTT